GGAGAAGCCAACTAACAAAGCAAGCTGGCTTTTTAGAGCGCAGCTCTTAGGGGCCCGTTCCCGGCTTGAGCGGCGTCGGCGTAACCAAGGTCATCCCAAGGTCACGTGACCTTGGGATCACGTGACCTTGGGGGTCACGTGATCTCAAGGGGGTCACGTGACCTGGAGGGGTCACGTGAACCCCAAGGTCACGTGAACCCTCCAGGTCACGTGACCCCTCCCAAGGTCATCTCAAGGTCTTGTGACCCCCAAGGTCACGTGACCTTGGGGGTCACGTGACCCCTCCCAAGGTCATCTCAAGGTCACGTGACCTTGGGGGTCATCTTGGGATCACGTGACCCCCAAGGTCACGTGACCCCTCCCAAGGTCCTCAAGGTCACGTGACCCCTCTGAGGTCACGTGACCCCCAGGTCCCGTGACCCCTCTGAGGTCACGCGACCCCCGAGGTCACGTGACCCCTCCAGGTCACGTGACCCCCTGAGGTCACGTGACCTTGAGGTGACCCCGATGTGACACCCAAGGTCACGTGACCCCCAGGTCATGCCTCCTCGAGGTCACGTGACCCCCCTCCCGGAGCATATTAAATGAGGGGAGGAGGAGGGGAAGGAGGAGGGGTCAACCCTCCCCTCAGTACCCTTCCCTCCTCCTCCTCAAGAGCTGCGCTCCAATTCGGCGTTACAGGGATTTGTAAACGGCTTTCACTTTTTTTTTTTGCTTTTTTCCTCTGGACGGCCGCGTCAATTTGAAAGAAAAAATAATATTCTCTTTTGCGGATGGTGCGGAGAGAGGGAGCACGGAGCACCTTCTCTCCGCAAAAGATATTCTTTTCTTTCAAGCAATCAATGCAACCGCCCAGAAAAAAAAAAAGAAAAAAAAAGCCAGCGTGCTTTGTAAGTTGGCTTTCCCCAACGCGGCCACTCGCATTGGAGGAAAGCCAGCTTGCAGAGCAAAACGGCACTCTTGGCAGTTCGATGTATTGGTAGCAGCTGCTATTTTTGTTCCATGCAACCATAGTTTTTGCTATATATTATCACTGTAACATTACTGTGCACGAAAATTGTTCGATATAAGGAATAATTTGATGTAAACAGGTTCGATATAGTCGGGTTTGGCTGTATTTAAATAAAGTGAAAGCCGTTTACAACTACCTGTAACGCCGAATTGGAGCGCAGCTCTTGAGGAGGAGGAGTGAAGGGTACCGAGGGGAGGGTAGACCCCTTCTCCTTCTCCTCCTCCTCCCCTCATTCTTTAATATGCTCCGGGGGGGGGGGGGGGTCACGTGACCTCGGGGGGGGGGGGGGGGGGGGTGTCACGTGACTTCGGGGAGGGGGGTCACGTGACCTCGGGGAGGCGTGACCTGGGGGTCACGTGACCTTGGGTGTCACATGGGGGTCACCTCAAGGTCACGTGACCCCCACGTGACCTTGGGGGTCACGTGACCTGGAGGGGTCACGTGACCTCCGAGGGGTTACGTGACATGGGGGGTCACGTGGGGGTGACCTTGGGGTCACGTGACCTTGAGATGACCTTGGGAGGGGTCACGTGACCTCGAGGGGTCGCATGACCTTGGGGGTCACGTGATCCCAAAATGACCCCACGTGACCCCCAAGGTCACGTGATTTGGGGGTCACGTGACCTTGAGATGACCTTGGGGGTCACGTGACCTTGGGATGACCTTGGTGGCGACGGCGACGCCGACGTCGCTCAAGCCGGGAACGGGCCCCTAAGAGCTGCGCTCTAAAAGATTGAATAATAATAAGGCGAATGCCGAATAGAACAGAATTCGATTGGCTACTCGTAATAACCGAATATTTGCCCATCCCTAAAGTTTTGCCGATTGTCAAAGGTCGCGACTTTGATAGCACTATATGCTTATCCGCAATTAAAGACATTTTATGTGGTTTCTCAGAGTAGCTAGAATGTTTTCATTGATTTTAGACGATTTGTATTTTATAACTTGTTAATTAAAAATGCTGAAATAGGCGCCAGTGATAATAATTTGCGCCAGTTTTGATTGCCGTATATACTTGTTCACACGCTTGAAATTAGATAATGAGCAACAAATTGTATTACAACTTGAATAATTACATATCAAATTATCTGAATTTTAATATTATTATTATTAATACAAATCGAAGCAAAGTATGCCCCCAATTAATGCCAAAATCACGAAAATACGCTAATTAACCATAATAGTCTTTCCAAAAAAGGTATAATTTTGTTTTCTTTTTGGCATACGAAAAACGCTGACATCGTTATCAAGATAGACAAACAGTCAAACACTAGATACAATATAAAAACCTATGCATCAAACGTTGCTATAAAAAAAACACACTTCAGCTGTCTGACTCGGATTCCGTTTTGGGTTGTTGAAGTGCGAACAGCGTTTATTAATTTACACGTTTTGTGGACATATAGTAAAAATTTGATTTATTCTCTTATTCTAGTGATGTGAATATTGGTAAACCAATTAATCCTCTAAATACCCCAACACCCATTAAAAGGCCCGCAGTTCATTATTTTCCATGACAATTATCTGAGCGAGAAAAGACAGCGAGAATGCACAAAATATCAGGACTGATTTTTTTCAACTACAATATTTTGTTACCTCTAAGGTGTATGAAAAACCCTGTCTTTAAAGGGACACTGAAATCTCACAAAATATTTTGAAGTGGCTGTTTGCGTTGTTTGCGGAAAATAAAGTTTCCGCAAACAACTTGTTTAACAAAATAATTACTATGTGAGACACATCTTGAATTATGAAAGAATCCGAAATTATAAGACCTACAGTATATTGAGAAACTAAATCCAAAATAGAGGTTAGTTTCGGTTTCGCTCCAGAATTGAAACGTGCGTCCTTGCATAAATATTACGCTAAACACCGTTTTTGTTTTCAGGATAAAGAGGTGACGTGCGCTCATAACACCCTAGCTTCCTCATATTACCAGAAATAATTTTTGTCTCTCAGTGAACCCAGCACACAAGACAGGCTCAACAGCGGCACGCATCTCCGACCCCCACTATAACCGCCATTTTGGAAGACGAATGGCGCCACTTATAGTTAGTTGGAGTCGCGAATACCCGCGGAAGCGAGCTCCGCGGGTGTTGCTTCTCTGCATTGCATCGATGCTTGGTAAGAAGGTCACTCACCAGGGTAACCCGCCGCAATAAACACTTGAAAAAGTATAAATATTGTAGTTGCGTGCATGGAATTAAAGCATACATTCAAAGCGGGATGGTGCACCTGTGCCGACTGTATTCGAAAATAAATGAAAAGTTTGTGAATGTGTATATCTACATTGTAGTAAAAGTTTCAAAATTAAACTGTTATGCAAGGGTATACTAGTACGTTACGCAGAGATGCCCTTACAACCTGCATTGTAAGGGCATCTCTGCCCTTATAATGCAGGTTCATTCTTTTTTAACTCGAGATTAAGGAAAGAATATTTTATATGGCAAGATTTGTAAATTCACTCCTTTGGATATAGTTGACCATCTCTATAGGATTCATTTTATGTCAAATCCGTTGTTTACTTGCCATCCCAAGACACCAGGCCTTCTGAGGTCACAGTTCATAAATAGAGATAGATTAAACTTGGCTTATAAATGAACAAGTGGAACAACCTTCGCAAGTTTCGCTGGGCTTTCGTCTAAGCATTATACTATGGTAGGGAAAGGCGTGAAAAAACTACTGTAAACGACTTAATTTTCGGGGGCTCAAATTTTCGCGAATCGGGCCAAAGCTAAAAATTTGCAAATATTCGAAGGTTATAATTTTCGCAAATTGAGTAAAGCTTCCGTAGCGTTCACATATTGCCCGAATTGTTCGCGGGACATATTTTTCGCGAATTGTAGGCGATTCGCAAAAATTAAGTTTCTGCGAAAATTTCGTCATTTACAGTTTTCAATATTCGAATCGAAAATATTCGGCCAAAACGACTATTCACTTCGAACTCAAAATTCACTATTCGCACAAGACTAAAGTTTAGCAACAAAAATATTGCAAAAATTTTTGTTTTTTTTTATTGGAAAAAAAAAGTCCCATTTTGTTAAAAAAGAAATTGTTTTCATTTCAGTGTTTTTTAAGGAAAGAATAAAGCAAATGAAAAAAGAAAAATGAATGAAATTAACTTTTTATATTGATAGCCAGGATAAAGGATGCTGTACAAAGTTTGAGCTATATATATGAATTACGTAGGAAATTATGGTAATTTATTCCATCGGGAATGCAATCTATCGTTACGAGAAAAATACAGCGTTTAATATTTTTCTTTGCCAGATACGCAGCAAAATGAGCAGAAAGTGTGACTGCCCAGTTCTTGTCAAGCTGATTCGGAACGCAATAGATGTACATCATTAGTGCAGTCCCCTCGACGCCAACTAAGAAAACTTGCGCAAAGCTCTATGTTTTTTGCGGGCGCTCTCATTTTCATCTGCAGAGTACAGCGTGTCGCGACATTCACCTGTCCCACGAAAAGGGACCTCCTTAACGCCGTACATGCAGCCAGATACGCAAAGGAGTTTTCCTTCACGGTAGAAGCTTTCCGGATTCGCAACCGCCCCCGTGGTAATCCCGACGGGGACGCTGTCCACTGTGCTGTTTATTTCCACTGCTTCCCGATGATTTTGCGACAGCCACCGCCAGGGGGCGGTGCACAATAGGCGAGACTCCTCCCCACCCCATATAAACTTTCACCTCCGGTTCGGCCCGTGTTCAGAGCGTGGGGAATGACGGGTTGCGGCTGGTAACACAACAATTTCCCCAGCGGGTAAACTGAACTCATGCGTAGGTCATGGGACGTCAATTTTTCCGCAGCGGGGAAACTGAGGGGATGCGACGTCACAGGCCACGGCTTCACGAAATATGGCTCGACAAAATTCAGAGCAACTGGCGAAATAATGCGTTAATATAACGGACAACACGTTAGCAATGGGGGAAATGATGATAATACAACAGTTTTGGGCCTCTTGGTTAAATGGAGGTTTGTCCGCCGACCCACCTGGACGACGTCCCGGGCGTCCTGAGCGGTGCAGGCCTCCCTGAGCTCCAGCCGGGCCCTGGCCTGGGTGAGCCGCACCAGGGACTCGAGCTGCCGCGTCGTGATGGGCACGCAGTCCTCGCGCCGCGTCCTACGCAGCTCCAAGTAGAAGGCCTGCAGCAGGGATGCACACTCGGCGCCCAGCGACGGCTGAACGTACCTGGAAACCATCCTCCTTATCCTGGGATATTCCCAAAGCAAGCAGCCGACCCTGCTCCATGTGCCAAAGCATCAGGAATGTCGCCTTGGTAGAAGACGCGCAGGAAAGCAGCGCACATCTCTGCACCCAACTAGACCTCAGAATAAACGCTTCACTATCCAAAACCTAGAAACAAAGACTTCTCTTAGAGGCACTTATCTGCCCAGTCGCAGCTTTTTACTCTTTACTCGTCGTCCTGCCCTGGCATTCCAGCTGAACGCCGGCGGTATATGCGAGCAATCGTAAGTAAATATCTTCCACGCAGCGCTTTTGCTCGGCCTTCTCGTTGAAGCTACGTGGGCAGAGGGAAACTCACTGTCGAGCGTAGGCGATGTACTTGCGCAGCAGAGGTCCCGGAACGGGATCTTGCACGGGTCCGCGAAGTCGCTCCGCAAGTGGTGCATCTGCCGCAGACGACTCCTTTCCGGTCTCTCCGAGCGAGTTTCGAGCGGCGGACGACGCAGTTCCTTTCCTGCCGCTGGAGTGCAGCGACATGACGTGCTCGGAGAGACGCCGGTCCAAATCCTGAAAGAGGCCCACACAAAAGAGCTCAAGATACAAAGACCAAGGTCTAATGACTCACTTTCTTTGGGTCTAAAATACAAATACATACGAGGGTAGACAGAAAAGTTATCAGGATAAATATATCAGTGATGTGATCTGTCATTTTGGAGCAGCAAAAGGAACTTATACGTTAAGATTAATGTATTCTTTGCCTTCCCATTTCTGTCCAACTCTCTATTAGCATCAATTGCACAACAGGTTTGATCCCCACAAACACGGAACTTGCACGTACAAGCGCTAGGCACGAGAACAATATGCTCAATGATGAAGGACAGTATCGACTGCTGCAATTGTTATTTTAGGTATAGAGCCAATTACAGTCGAAGCTCGTTAATTCGACTCTGACGGTTCCTCGAAAATAGATCGAATTATCGAAGAGTCGAATTATCGAATATCGATCAAAAACGAGTAACGACGTACGTCACGAGAAGCGGCGAAAAGCCAACCGTGACGACGGAGTTTTATTTCGAAAAAAACGCCGATATTTTCTGCTGCCGCATTCCCGTCAGACGCTTCGCAAAAAAAATTTCCGCATATCCTCAATGTGCGGCCACATCGTCCCGTCGGTGTCTTCAAACGTTGCGAAGTTCGCAAGTACATCGAGCGCAGCGGATGCTTCGGCAGGAGATGGGCGTGGCGGCGGCTCTTCGGCGTCACTCTCGCAGCTGCCGTCCTCCTGACCCTCGGGACGCTGAACCGATGCGATGATTTCATTGTCAGTCAATTGACCGCACACAAGCACTCTATCATCTATCGCAACGTAATCATCGAAACTAACGTTTTCGGGTAGAGCGGACATTAGATCACTGCATTCTTCGTCAAAGTTTTCATCTTCAATTGTGGTTGCCGATGTTGTAGCCGATGCAGTGGCCGATGTAGTAGCCGATGCAGTTGCCGATGTAGACGTAGTAGCCGATGCAGTCGTCGAACTCGCAGTATTTCCATCACACGAGAAACCACAGCGACGAAAGCAGTTTGCGATGACCTGGCTTGGCATGTCCGTCCAAGCTTTAACAAGCATATGAATCGCCGCCAACAGAGTGACTTCATAGCACTTACCCTGGTCCAGACAAAGCAATATTCTTGCCATGAGATGCTTGCGGTACAAGCCTTTCAGGTGTTTGATTATTCCTTGATCCATTGGTTGCAAGAGTGAGGTGGTTGCGGGTGGAAGGAAAATCAGGCGGATCATAGACAGCTCCGGCATTTTTTTGTGCGCACTGCAGTTGTCCGCTACTAACACGACCTTGCGCCCCTTCGCGCAAGGTCGTGTTTTTTGAAGCCAATTTTTGAAGCCAATCTTGAAAGATATCACGTGTCACCCACGCTTTTTTGTTGAAACGGTAGTCCGTTGGAAGCCGTGGGATGTTCCAAAAGCATCGTGGAGTCTTGGATTTCCCGATCACCAAAAGAGGCAGACGTTCCGTGCCTGTCATGTTGGCTGCCACGAACACGGTCACCCGCTCTTCACTGCGTTTTCCCCCAGTGCAAGGATCCCCTTTGAACGTTATCGTTTTGTCGGGGAGAGCTTTGAAAAACAACGCCGTTTCGTCGCAATTGAATATGTCCTCGGGCGCATACTGCGCAAGAATACGTGCGAGCTCAAACATCTTTCAGTTTTCACACAAATCTTCATCCAAATCGGCTCTTTCACCACACACGTGCTTAAAAATAAGAGAGTGCCTCTCCCTGAATCCTGCGAGCCATCCCTCGGAAACTTGGAATCCCTCGATGCCCAAACGTTCGCTGAACTGTTGAGCCTTTGCGTGAATCATGTCTCCAGTCATCGGAAGGTTGTGCGTTCTTACTTCTGTCACCCATTTGTAAACAGCTTCTTCGAGTTCTGGATGGGCTGCACTGCGAAGGCGTTTTCTTGAATTCACAAATTGCTCTTCTTCAAAAGCTTCCACGATTGCTGCTTCGTTCCTAATGTAGGTAACAAGCGTGCTTTTCTTGAGGTCATACTTTTCGGCAATTTCTTTTCTGGACAATTTTCCCTCCCTAACTTCGTTGAGTACCTGAACTTTTGTTTTTAAATCATTCGAAGAGTACTTTCCTCGCTTTTCTTTCGACATTTTCCGGTATGAGCATTAAACGCCGCGCACTCCAAAGAACAGAAACCTCTTCATCGCTGGCTCATTTTTCTCCAGTCTCCTTCTCCATCCTCCCGACGTTCTTTCTCACTTCATCGCTCACTCATTTCCCTCTCGTTGCTCCCGTCTCCTTCCGCGCGCCTCCCCACGTGATCGGGCCGGTGCGCTCTGACTGGATCTTATCTCGACTAATCAAATCGGCCCTTTCTCCGGCGCGAGGCGCCGGCGAAAGGGCGCCTGTCTGTGCGGGCGCTCTTTCGCGGAGCGCACCCCGGCTCGAGGCGCCGGGGGCGCCGACGGGCATCGCGCGTCTGTGGAGGTGTCGCAATCAGGCGCGGGCTCGCTGCAACGGCTGTTTGCCAATATGGGTAGGGACGCGTGTTGTGTTCTGAGGCGCTGTTTTAACCTCAACTTATAGTGTTAGCTTAAAAAATATTTCCCGGTTACGAAGATGCTGGCTCCCGGGACGAATGATCGGGTTGGGGATATTTATCAGATCGAAATACCGGGGTTTTCTGCCTATTGAAGCCTGTACATTTCTGGCGGTGCTAAACGGAAGGATTGAATTAACGCGATGATCGAAATAACGGGAGTCGAAATAACGAGCTTCGACTTTAGTATATTCCATGGAAATCATCTTGGAACAGAATATTGAGTACCAAAGTTGGTTTTTCATGAAAAGGTTGTAATAAAACTGCAATAATTAATCTGGATAAAAACAAAGCTGTTGTCATCTGATTAACAAGAATCAAATTTATATGTAGGACTTCAAGATAGAAAAAAAAATTGTAGAGCCCTTCTACTTCACGTGAAGATGGAGGACCAGTAAAGCTGTTATCTTTATGACGTCTAGGACGACCTCAAGGACGACTCGAGGACGACACCTAGGACATCTTCTAGGACGACCTCAAGGACGACCTCAAGGACGACTTCTAGGAAGACCTCGAGGATGACGCCTAGAGGGTGACATCTCTGACAACCTCAAGGACGACATCTAGGATGACCTCAAGGACGGCTCAAGTACGACCTCTCGGATAACTTCTAAGAGGACTTCTAGGACAACCTTGAGGACAACTTCGAAAACAACCTCGAGGATGACTTCTAGGAAGACCTCGAGGACGACGCCTAGAGGATGACCTCTCAGATGACCTTGAGGACGACGCCTAGAGGGCGACTTCTAGGACGACCTCAAAGACGACTTCTAAGACAACCTCGAGGACGACCTCAAGACGACTTCTAGGACGACCTCGAGGACGACACCTAGAGGACGACTCCTAGGACGACTTCTAGGACAACCTCAAAGATGAAGCCTAGAGATATAATAATAATAAATAATAATAATAATCTTTTATTTTCCTTTTTTCATTACAAAACGGACAAAAGGTGGAAAAGAGGGCAAAAAGCTGCTTCTGCAGCTTGATGAGGCCCTAGTTTCCACACACACCTTAGCGGAAAAACAGCGCAAAATAAAAATACAGTATAGACCACTGACAACGTAACCGCTTGTAGTGCAGGACTGGGTATAACGCGGTTTTTTTAAACCACCGGTTTGCCTCCCATAGAACTCCATGTAATTACATACCGCTTAAAATGCAGGCGCACGAAGGGAAATTCAGGCGCACGAAGGGAATTGCATTCAGGTACAACATTGGCTCAAATTCATCCCATCTTGTCTAAATGTAGCAGTATGTAGCAGGGTAAGCACCTTGAATTCAAGGTATACCGTATTTACTCGCACAATGAACGCACTCGCGTAATGAACGCACCCCCCAAGTCGGCTCTCAAAATTTCGACTTTTTTTTCACTCGCGTAATAAACGCACCCCCAACTCGGACGTCAAAATTTTGACCCCCTCCCCCCCACGCGCGCGAAATGAACACACTTTTCTATCCTGGTGCAGCGAGGTCGCCAATGCATGGGCAGCATGGGCGAACAAAACGCCTTGCAAAAGGCGTTAAAAAAATTCGCCAAGATCTAACGCAGTGGTTCTCAAATGGGGGTCCGCGGACCCTTCGGGGTCCGCGAAGGCATTCTAGGGGTCCGTGTTCATCAGTTAAGCCCGGCATTAAGTTTTATTTCCAGGTCGAGAAGAAATGTTAAGTTTTTGGGCCAGTTTCCTCGTGTGCTTGCCAATAAGAAAGGTCTACTCTACACTAGCCCTTACTTAAATCCATTTATTCAATTATTATTATATTTAACCTATACCTTCCCCCTCCCCTCACCCCGAACGGGGTCCTCCATCACCTCCGCCGATCCACAAAGGGTCCGCGAAACACCGATGGTTGAGAACCACTGATCTAAAGGAAGCAAGAAAAAGAAACATGGAGAGGAGCTTTTTTTTTTTTTTTGCACAGCGCAGTCTGGATTTTGGGTTCGCGCGCAGCCGCGCGCGAGGAGATAAGAAAGAGGAGCGGAGAAGCCCTTTAAGCGAACGAAACAGCTTGCGAAAGGCGGCAAAAAGAAAAAAAAACAACACTGAACTGAGAAAAAAAAAACAAAAGAAAAAGAGGAGCTTTTTTTTTCTTCTTTTTTTTTTTCCTGCACAGCGCAGTTTGGTTACGGGGGTCGTGCGTCGCGCGCCGCACCAAGGAGATAAGAAAGAAGCGGAAAGCCCTCGCCTAAGCAAACAAAACAGCTTGCGAAAGGCGGCAAAAAAAAAACACCCAAGAAACTAAAAAAAAAGAAAACAGTTTTTTTTTTTTTTTTTTGGCACAGCTTAGTTTGGTTACGGGGTCGGGCGCCGCGCGCAAAGAGATAAGAAGTTACTTCGATTTTTCAGGATAAAAGGTCCGTTCATTATGCGAGTAAATACGGACGCAAAAATTTTACTTTGCGTAATGAACGCCCCCCCCCCCCCCCCCAACTTTG